TTGAGTCCGAACCATGATTACTTCGGAAGTAGTAATATATGATAAAATGCGAAATAATCACTTGTGATAAAAATTTATGTTTTCAGTATTAAATGTTATTCTTTTAGAATATTAATAAATATTGAAAAAATATTAAATTCAATCAAAATAGATTTAAATTCAATAAAAAAAGATTAAAATACTATCAAAAATTATTAAAATTTATTCAAACAAGATAGCTTTCAATTTAATGAACTGGGTTTAATATCACATTATTAGTTTTTAGCAAAAAATAATTAATGTTTAATCATTAGATATGATTGAACTGAGTTTAATGTCAAATTCGACAGTGAGCATGCATAAGGGCCTATACGCGATGATCGATTCTCTTCGTCGATTTTCACCTTTGTTAATAACTCGCTAGATTTAACGTTTCTCAGTGCGTTTGCTGTTGCTTTTGATAGCTAATACAGCCTGTTACTACTCTGCATTGAACAAATTCTAGAAAATTGTTTCGCTTAGCTATAGCAATGTAAAGAGAAAATCAATGAAGAGAATCGATCATCGCGTATTCGCCCTTATGCAGGCTCACTGTCGAATTGTTTTTTTTTCTTCGTTAGAGAGACGTTCAGCCAGTGGCTGATTTTGTTCAACATGCAACACATTGCACGTAACGAATTATCTGTTGATGATCACAAACCTGTAAAGAGTGTATAGGAATAATAATTCATGTTGATGCTACAAATAATCAGAAATACGAGCATAACGTTCAAACTGTGAAATCCTTTCATGTTGTAATAAAGATGATGCTATTGCTAACCGGCTTGGAAATCCAAACGTGCGTTTTATCAACGCATCCTACTCACTTAAATTTTAAATTTTTTCGCCGAGATTCCAACAGCCGAGCAGTTCTGCAATATATTTTGCTGAGATTCAGTAAAACATTTGCCGAGACTCAGCTAACAAATGACATTTTGCTGAGATATCAGCTAACAAACAGATATGATCAGCAAAAGTAAATGCCGAGGTAATCGGCTGTTGGAGATTTTACCGAGCTAGATTAAGTGTGATATTACACCAGGGAATCAGTTTTTTTTTCGTAGAGTCCACGTTTGATTTCATCCTTTTCGTTATCTGAAACAGGGAATTCTATACAGAGCTGGAAAAAGGGTCTAATGATCGATTCTCTTCATCGAGTTTCTTTTTTGATAACCACGGCTATGCAAACAGTTTTCGTGCTATTTTGCCACATAGCATGTTAAAGGAGGTTTTTATCTATCGTCCAAATCGTCAAATACAACAGGGAATGTTGTTGCAGCTGAGTTATCAACGAAAGAGAAAGTCGATGAAGTTAGGTGCAGAACCGGTTATGATGACATCTGTCACGCAGTTTTTTCTTGCGCCTCTAGAGCACGACTGTTGGATACCCTAGTGGCCCGAGGTAGACAACCCTTCCGTGAAGTAAGATATGTATTGGGAATCCGTGATCTTCCCTACATGCAGGCGATCTACAAATTCCTTTGTTTGTCTGATGATAGAGTTTGATGTGACCATCCCCTCATTTCCAAACAATTTCCAGCCATTGTGTCCCAGTCTTATTATCCTCCTGTTTCTATGCTTCTTTTCCCCCTGCCCAGCCAGGATTTGGTCAACCGTCCGAGAGTTTCCTACCTAGCTCCTTCCAATCGAAATTGTTACCCATTAACCTCGAGCCCACCACGAGTAATTGGTACCCAATACTAACCTAGAACTACTGCTGTTTAAAATGTAAATTGAAACATTACTGATTGACACGACTGAGGTTAGTAAATAAACGAACTAGTTAAAAAAAAAGTCGATGAAGAGAATCGATCAAAGCAGGTAGGCCCTTTTTTCAGCTCTGTATAAAATTGTATGGCTCATGGACAAACTTGTGCTACATCAAAAACCGCTGATAAAGTCGGTTGTGTACTTCCTATAAACAAATCGTAGCCAACACCTTTTTGGTATCTCTTTTCAGCAGCGAATCTTAATGTTGCTGATAGTTTTAACATCGGCTGCACAAATGAAGATTTAACACCTCCTAATTTATCCTCCACAGTGTTAACATAGAGGTGTTAAGCCGATATCTGAAGAATTCTTTGGAAACTAATCGGTATATCAAAAATAGGAAAAGCTTTAGATTGTTTAAACAGTGCCATTTTCAACAAATACATATCTCTCAATCTTCGACGCTCAAACCACACCGTTCCTAAATCTTCAGTTTCGTTCTTGTCATCTCTGAACCAAAACTCAAAACAACCAATGTTCGACAAATCTACTTTCATTTCTAGCATCTAATTCCATCGCGCTTCACCTTTTTGCAGAAAATTTTCAAAATCTTCATAAATCTTTTTTCAATCTGCTCATTCTACATTCAGCTCAGAACAGCAAAACGAAATCTTTCCTGCATCTATAATGGTATATATTAGAGTCTGTAATGGTCTGTATATAAGAGTCACGTCAAGAGAAAAGCAGTGGAACTCGCATCACGGTTTTGTGGACCTTTATACCCTGGACAGACTATGGCTTATATCATGTAATATAGGCTGTCTTGAAATGAGCACTCATACATAGGATTTCCAGTGAAAACTAGATGTATGAGTGCTCATTGCAAGACAGCCTATATTACATGATATAAACCATAGTCTGTCCAGGGTATTAATAGCATTACAGAACAAAAGTGGAACTTCGGATCAGAAAGTGGATCCACTATTATTTGGCGCACACTAGCGCACCTAAGTAGACGGAAAGCACAGAACAGAACCGGAAGTGCAAACAAATTGGTGAATCAAAAAGTGGTACGTTTTCCTGCCTTGTTAGCTTCACGCAGAAGTAATACAAACAAAATAGTTAAAGTAGAGGTAACAATTCTTTGGTTCAAGCAATCTAAATATTTACCTTATTTGACAAAACGCAGGTAATCATTATTGAAAACATTTTGAATGAAGAAAAGAGGCCTGCTTATAGAGCTTTTTGACGTTTAATCGGCGCACACTACTACACCATTTAAATCGAACGAGTGCGAGCAAGAGGGAAATAGATTAGTGGGAAAACAAACCGTTCATTCATCCATGTGTGCTAGATAGAGAAAGATTATTAAACATCAAAAAGGTTTATAGTCGCTATATTCATAGTCTGGCGAATAGAATTTCGATCTATCAAAAAGTGGAACCAACTCAATATATTGTAGACCAACAATTGAAAAGGTACTATCAACTTTTATAAACAAAACGTTGATTATTCTTTCCTCGCCAATCGGACGCAAATTACCAGCATCATCGGATAGGGGAAATTTTCCCCAACCCAAAGATGGTGTTAGTTTGCGTAGGCGAGCCTTGAGTCACGAGAAAAGGGTTTCCGAAGTTTTGTTCGCAATAGCTTCTTTTCTGTTGTTGGTCGTGATTTACTCGATTGGTTCCACTATTTGACAGCTCAATTGGTTCCCGAGATTCTATCCGCCAGACTATGATTATAGCGACTATACTACCATAGAGGTAACTCTAAGACCACTGGGTCCCGAAGAAAATCATTATTATTTTTGGCTCACTCAGTACCAGAACAACGGTCCCAAGCAGTTCCAAGATATTTCACTCACCCCTGCATGTTCTGCATGAATCCACACACCCCTGATGTTATCTGTCAAACTTTCATAGCGAATCAAAACAAACATAGTGTAGTAATAGAATTTCAACTAGAATAGGGTACGTTAATCGTTTGCTTGGGACCAATAGGCTACTAAAGTGGTGAGCCAATTTCAAATCGTTAGTTTCGTATTGATTGTTGATACTACTGCTGTCATGATTATCTGAGATTTCAGTGCCAACATTTTAAAGGGGCGTAATTGCTTTTGTAAACAATGGCTTTAGACGTCGATTTCTCGCAAATGAAAACCCACACCTCCAAATTACAAATGCTAGCTGATACAGGAAACATTCCTCTGCGTGCTGGTGTCATTAATTTTCATGAGTGAGCTTTCATTCGTGAGATATCGACGACTAAAGCCATTGTTTACAAATGCAATTACGCCCCTTTGAAATGTTGGCACTGATTTGTCAAATAATGTAAATATTTACACCGATTGCATCGAAGAATAGCTGCAATTTCCAAACCTACGACTACTTAGATGCCTCCCTTCAGATAACGACTTGAGTACGGTACAGTCGATAGAACTGTTTCAACACATTGTAGGTACATAAGCAAATCGATGTTCATCTCTTTTTGCCAGTGGTGGCGGGGAGGATACCCCTCACCACCCCTCTCCAACTGGGGAGTTTGGTAAAGAGAGATGTTCAACCCGATTCGTACCTTCCTCAAAGTTGTCCTTGCTCGCTTTCTACTCTCTATATACAATTTTTCCACTGCCGAACTCTAACGGAACTATCAACTCTAAACTTTCATCTCCTCATCTATCGTATAAAATGACCACTTTAAGCCTGTTATTTGAAGCTTAGCATCTTCAACTAAATTTAACATGTTCATTCTTACTGTTTGCTTACTAAGGTCCTCATTTTACCCCAACGGTTTTAATTCGGTTACAACACAAACATTTTTTTAAATCTTCCTTCATAAGATTCAAAAGTTTACTTTCAATATTCAATTTGTATTTATGATAGGGGCTTGATGATAAATAGGGCTTAAAGCTATCAATTTGGTTAAAATCATTCGAATTTTCCCGTGAATTAGGTATCATCAGTAAGGTCCCTTAATAAAATTTGTATGGTATTTTGCTTAACTATGTATTGAGGGTCTCATCCATTCCATTTGTGGAATATTTCTATCGTTTGGGTTTTCGTTCGGGTATGGTATTTTTTATTAGGGTCGCCATATCATTTTCTTAAGGTGGCCAAACTGCCCCACTTTCCCCTACATACTTACCTCAATAACAATGAGAGTCACCTCACTCGCGGCACAGAATAGGCCTAAAAAAAGCCAACCGTCTACCAAACTGTAACGGACATGGACTTGTTTCGGCATCAACAAATCCACCAACATGCACCACGTAATATTCCGTATAAAATTGTATGCTATACTTTTCAACAGATAATAAAAGGTATAATTTTCTTTATTCGTTATAAATGTATCAAAAAAAAATAATAAAAAAAAATTAAAACGGAAGATATTCAACAAACTACCGTCTTCCGTCAGCCCGAAGCCATCCGAAAGACCTTATTTTCCTGTGTCATCATCATTCTATTAGTGTCTACGCGTCGGCATCGAGTTCCACCCGACGCGTTTCGTCTATTTCTCTCTGATTCGTAATTTGCTGCGAGTGCTACTTTTTGACAAACTTCGCCTTCGATTCGTCCGCCACCCAGGACTGCTTGTGGACGTTGTAGAGATGGCCTAGCAGCTGGAAGCGCCGTGGGAATCGCTTATCACACTGATCGCACGGAAATGGCCGCTCGCCGGTGTGCGTCCGCAGGTGTTCCCCGTACGCAAACTGACTGCGGAACTGCCGGCTGCAAAAGTTACAGTTTATCAGCGGCTTCGGTCGTTCCTTGGCACGACCCCGAGACCGGATCCGGTCCTGGTGGGCGAGTAACAGGTGTTCTTTGAGCTGCTGCAGGTTGTTCTGATCGGCACTGCAGATGTAGCATGCATACGAACGTCGCTCCAGCAGTTCGATCTGGCGACTTTCCTCATCGTCCTCCGCAGTGCCGGCATTGTCGCCGTGCAGTTGCGAACCGGCACCCGGACCTGATGCGGCCGCGGCAGCAGCCGCTGCGGCGACGACTGCTGCGGTAGCAAGCGGACCACCACCAGATGCCAGGGCAGCGGCGGCTGCTGATGCAGCCGTAGTTGAGTTCTGCGCTACCGTCGATGGCGGTGGCGTCGATTCCTGCCCAGCAATATGGGTTCGCATGTGCAGCAACAGCTTGGATCGGTTTAGGAAAGGCCGACCGCACAGCAGACAGGTGAAGTCCATCCGGCGGCGCTTGCGAGAGTCTGTCGATTCCGAACTGCGCCGCCGCACGCTCGGAATCCTGTAGTCGAAGGCACGATCCTCGGAGTCGTCCGTGTCGTCGGAATTTTGCTAGAGAAGTGGAAAGAGAGATAGAGAGGAAACTGGATTAGATATATTAAGAAGGTTGGTTGGTTGTCTTTATTATGGAGATTTTCAGCCAGGTGCTGGTTAATCTCCGGCTAAATTCAGTAGAAGGTATGATAGAATTTACGAAATGTATTTTATAGTTCTCTCTGTTCTAGTGAAGGAAGGTTTTAAATATTCTCTAACGTTTCGGGGTTGGCCAACCCGAAAAATTTCTAGACCGGGTCGGGAATCGAGCCCAGTAGTCTCCAGCATGGTATTGCTTTATAGCTGCACCTTTACTGACTGAGTTAAGAGAGGCACCCAACTTAAACGGACAAATTTCAGATCATAATTGTTAAATTCAACAGACTTCAAAAAATATTCCTTTACTATGTGAGTCAAATTGTTAGCAGTTCGGTTAAAAATCGCACATTTTGTTTTGTGATATTTTCACCAAAATGTGTAAAATATTGATGATATTGGTGCACAAACGTTATGCAAGAAGTTTATAATCATTAAAAACAAAATAGAACTTTAACTAATCATGTTTTATTACTTCATGTGTGAAGTTAACGATTTACATAGTTGGAGATGCTTAACGTCAAATATCAGACTTAAGGTGGACATTTTATACGATAAATGAGGAGATGAAAGTGTTCCATAGTAACCACATGAAATGAACATCTTAGAAGCCTATGAATAATTAAGCTGTTTGACACAACTATTTTCTACATTGATTAATGTTCTGACATCCGAAGTATATAGTCCTAGTTAACCAACAACCAGTCTTTTTTTTTAACTAGTTCGTTTATTTACTAGCCTCAGTCGTGTGTGACACTTTGCGGAGCCAAAATCAGTAATGTTTGATTTACATTTTAAATAGCAGTATTTCTAGGTTAGTATTGGGTACCAATTACTCGTGGCGGGCTCGAGGTTAATAGGTAACAATTTCAATTGGAAGGATCTAGGTAGGAAACTACAACCAGTCTTTTATTGGAGCCTGTAACATCTGGCGACGAGGACAATTTCGAGTCACTTTAAGGTGATTTCTTGTAGAGTCCACAAATAGCTGCCACATAGACTATAAATGCACTTCCACCTCGAATTTTCAATTACACAAAACTCTGAAATTGCTACTGCCTGTATGCGTGCAGCAAACGTGGAGTAACAGTTTCATTGTAGTACGTGTCGTGGAAGCTGATATTTGTGCACTTAAAGTTTCGAAGTGGTAGCGAGAATAAGGATCTCACAGCGAACCCCCTTAAGTTGATCCAGATCAAGTAATTTGAAGATGTCCAACCAGGATTTGAAGGACGCAATTCTACGGCTCACCGAACTGGTAGCCAGGACAGGAACAGATCCAACGCATCAACCGGGCCGGTCAAGTCAACCAACGGGAAGCGAGAAGATCGTCGAATCGTTGGCCACGGGAACTGGAGACTTCTACTACGATCCTGACGGTGGAGTATTCTTTGACGCTTGGTACGCCCGCTACAAAGATGTTTTCAAAATCGACGGCAAGAATCTGGACGACCCCGCGAAGGTGAGGCTACTCTTGAGGAAGATTGCCACCAGTTCCACGAACGGTACATCAATAGTATCCTGCCAAATCATCCACGCGATTTTTTTCTGGACGAAACGGTGAAGAAACTCAATATGCTATACGGCCGCCAGACCTCCCTTTTCAACGATCGGTTCCTGTGCCTTAAATACATGAAGAACGATTTGTCGGTGGAACGATGCTGACGATTTTTCAAGCTTCGCTGCCTCCTTGAATAAACACAGCTCTCGACGACCGGTTCAAGGCACTACGTTTTGTTTTTGGTCTACAATCTCCGCAAGATGCAGACATCCATACCCGATTAATCGGTAAGTTTGAAGCTGAAGATAATGCTCCGCCGGCGGAAGGTTTGAAGTTTACATTGGAAAGTCTCGTCAAAAGTGCCATCGGTTCAACAACTTGAAGCAGGACAACAAAATGATAGATAAACCTGTTCCGGAGAAATCCGTCGTTAACACCGTTTCAATGAAGCTCTCAAGAAAAAGTCGCCGAAGTCCCCATGCTGGTTCTGCGGTGATCGGCATTTTGTGAAGGAATGTCCCTATCAAGACCACAACTGCAACAAGTTCATCAAGTCCAAAGGAATTTCCATCAAGCGTATCGATCTTCAAGGCAAGAGGAAATACGTTTCTGTAGGAATCAATGGCAAGCTGGACTGCGCTTCCGATGCCACGATCATATCAACACAAACGTGGGAAGCAATCGGAAGACCAAGCATCAAGTAATCTGAGATAACGGTAATCAGCGCTTCGGGAGACAACATCAGCATTGTTGGTGAGTTATGCGAGTATATCTAGCCTGACCATTTGCTGTATAACGTGATGAACTAGCCTACGGCTAAAAATCACGTAAATAAAGGAAAAAAGTTATCCACAGAATTAACCATCCGAGGTGTGAAAAGTGCAGGAGTTGTCTGCGTGTCATAAAACCCTGATTTGAATAACCTGGGAATTGAAACAAAATGCTGAGTTGACAACCTGGAAGGAGCGGAATACCTAGCCCTGGTCCTCACAAGTTTCTACTTAACGCCTCCCCGAGTTATATAACAAAAGACTACCAGCTGAAACATGGACACAGCTGGGCTGGGTGGCGTAACCTGGGCAATGTTGCCAGTCCGGCAATAGCAAAATGGCGCGATAACCATAGTACGGTGACAGAGGAAATGCTTCACCAAACCCGAGCGTCTGTTCACCATGGAGGGTGCGGCTCAAAACGGCGTCTGTTCTCCATGTTAGGAGCGGCTGATCACCGTCCTAGTGCCAGCGTGCACGATGGTCCCCGGCGAGACAGAGGGTTGGGGCAGGCCCAACAAGCCGCGCTGGAAAAAACAAAGTTGCAAATACTGAAGAAAGAAATACGGATCGGAACAATCGGCACAGACCTACGCGACGAAATAAGGATTACGATTGGAAACCCGGAACATTGAACTGCAACTCGCTCGGCTTCCCGGACTGCGTTAGGTTAATCTATGACGAACTTCAACCACGCAACTTGGAAGTCGTAGCACTGCAGGAACTTTGCTGGACGGGACGAAAGGTATGGAAAAGCGGGCATCGAGCGGCTACTTTCTACCAGAGCTGTGGCACCACCAACGAGCAGGGAACCGGCGCGTGATTGGTTGGCAGCCGATCAACGCGAGGATGTGTAAGTTGAAGATTAATGGGCCGTTTCTTCAACTACAGCATCATCAACGTGCACTGCCCACACGAAAGGAGACCCGACGACGAGAAAGAAGCGTTCTATGCGCAGCTGGAGCAGGTTTACGAGGGCTGTTCGCAACGGGACGTAGGACGTAGGTAGGACGGGAGGCAATTAGGCCTATTCTGCGCGGCGTGTGAGGTGAGGTGAAGTAATGGTGAAGTGACAATTGTCACCTCGGGTGAGGTGAGTCTCCGTGCAAATCAAATGGAGAGTCACCTCACGCGAGGTGACAATTGTCACTTCAGAAGTGACAGCGTGTCACCTCACCTCACACGCCGCGCAGAATAGGCCTAAATGTATATACCGGCAATCGGGCCAAACAGCCTGCATGCCGTATCGAACGACAACGGCCTCTCGGGGTATGGTAGTTCGAAGAACCTTTTTCCCCCGCAAGGATATCCACAAAGCCACCTGGAGATCACCTGACCAACACACAGAAAACCAAATCGATCACGTTCTAATCGTAGGGAAATTCTTCTCCGACATTATCAACGTCCTCACGTACCGCAGTGCGAACATAGATTCGGGCCACTACCTAGTTGCAGTATACATGCGCTCAAAACTCTCGACGGTGCATAATACCCGCCGAAGTCAAACGCCGCGACCCAACATTGAGCAACTACGGGACGCCGGAGTTGCCCAGGACTACGCGGAAGAGCAGCTTCTCTTGAAGATGGCTGGAGGGACATCCGTTCCGCCATAAGTAGTACTGCTGCAGCGGCACTAGGTACTGCAATCCCGGACCGAAGAAATGACTGGTTTGACGGCGAATGCAAACTGTTAGTAGAGGAGAAGAATGCAGCACGGGCGAGAATGCTGCAACAGTACGAAATTGAATGTGGAGCGATACAGACAAGCGCGGAACAGACAAAGCTCGGTTTTCCGAAAGAAGAAGCGTCAGCAGGAAGACAGAGATCGCGAGGCGCTCCAGCACTGAATTTCAGTTCTGACACTGATATTCGTTGCAAACACGACACCAGGCGGTACTGCTTTGATATTACTATTCATATGAATATAACTCTACCGGTTGTTTGAGAACGAACATAATATTTTTCCATTAACAAAATCAATGATTTTAATCACATGAATTCTTTGTGAATTCTCACATAAGATTCATATGATTCTCCGTGCACAAATCAGTAATACGTTTGTACCGATGCCCAAAGCTACAACACAAAGCCGATTAGACCGTATTGTGTGAGTATTTACGTATTTACACTCATTGCTCTCAACACAAAAGAAGTGCTCCTAGCGAACTCGCTTTTCCTGCCTTCATCCATAGGACGATGAAAATCCAATGACGTTTCAATGCGTTTGGACGGAATTGAAACTCGTAGGACGAATTTGGAACCAAGATTTTTTTTAATATCTTTGTTAGGGAGACTTTTAGTCGGTGGCTGGTTCGTCTCCGGCTTGGAATCAAGAAGCAGTGTTAGATTTTTAACAATATCTCAAGAATGTGTGGCTCTTTATCAAATTCAACGGTACTTATGGAAAGGGGAATAAATTTAGAACTCATCTTTGATAGAAACATTTCATTTATTGTTAAAACCTGTTCAAGAAAGAGAGATATCGCGTCGGTTGCGATTAGTAGGACGGAAATCAGATCAAAAACCCTATACTGATGGTCCCGTAAAACTCGTTGCGAGCGTTTGCCAAAATTAATTAACATGGAAGCACTCACCTCGTTCCTCGCCTGCAGCTCCTGGAACACGTTGAACAGCATCTCCCGGTTGGTTTGTTCGTTCGGATCGACAGTCACTTCATTATCACTGTCCTCGTTCCCGTCGGAGTCGTTCCGCAGGAACAGACTCCTCAGGTAGGACACTTCCGGTTTCTCCGACGGCTGTTGCTGTAGTTGCTGCTGCTGCTGCTGTTGTTGTTGTTGTTGTTGTTGTTCGTGGGACGTTAAATTCCCGCTCGAAGTAGAGCTGGTTGCCGTCGTCGTTGTCATTGTCATCATTCCCGTCGAAGTGGAAGCAGCAGCTGCGACGGCTGCCGCTGCCGCACGGTGCTGCAGCAGAATAGCCCGCAACTGCGAAGCCAGTGGCGTTTCGGAATGTTCTTCGTTGTGGTTTTCGTCATGATGATGATGATGATGATGGAGGTGGTGGTGTTGGTTGATTGGAGGTTGTTGATCTTCCGCTGCCGTGACAGATCTGTGATTGAGAGTGCTGGGCCCTTCCAGGGGCGATTGACGGTCCTGATTGGAACCTCCTCCTTCCAGAAGCATTCGTTTTAGGAGCGAAGGGGAGGCTTCCAGAGCGTGGGGACCGGGTTGTGCCGGGGAGTGAGTTTCTCTGGACGAGAATCCCTGCTGTTGAAGGAGCATTTGCTGCAGAAGGGAAGTCTGAGCGGGAGGGATTTGCGCATGCGATTGCGGTTCCTCTTTCGGCAGGGACAGTTCATTGTGATCTTCATCTTCGTCTGGATGGGCGACAGCGGCAAGATTGTCCTGTTCCGGCTCGTGTTCCGCTGATGCTGTGGAAGTGGCTCGACCTGACTCGCGACTCTGGAGCAGAATACTTCGCAGGATGGAAGAACAACCTCCGGGATCTTCCTGTTTGACCAATTGAGCGTGCTGATCTGATTCTGGCGGATCGGCGGCAAGAAGCAAATCTTGGGGGTCGTCCAGCTGTTCTGGTTCCTGCTTGACTTGAACCGGGCGTTCCTGAGCAGGTTTGGCCTTGCCGCGCTGAGATTTCAGTATTTTATCGTTCTGCAGACATCGCTGCCGATAGTGGTAAAACTTGTCTAAAGTCTCCAAGCACTTTTCGCACACTTTCGATGGGTAGTCTTCCGCCAAGGTTATCTGCCGAGAGCAAAACAAAAACAACACACAAAAAGTTAATGCGCCATAAGTATCTGTGGGACGACGAAGACGACAACGCAGCAGACTGTACTTACCCGTATCGATGTGCACTCCAGTATCATGTCAATCACCTCCCGACTGGGTTCGCCTTCGGGCGGGAAGAGGGAACAAGTCAGATCCTCCACCGAGAAGCACAAGCGACAGCGACCCTCGACGTCTGCAGCTGCGATGATGGCTGCTTCTTGTTCCATTTTTGCTACTCCTCCTCCACCACCAGCGTACTATTATGTGCAATGCAGCGAACGACTGCTGGGCTGCTCTTTACCTTTGCCTTCGATCCGGAACGTCCGAAAACACCATTCCCCCACACACTTGACCGACGGATCTTCCTCTCGGAACCCCCCACAGGCACTGGAATCACTCGTATTTCCCGAAAAATGGCCAATTTCCGACCAGAAGTACACTTTTTGACTGCTTAGTATTTTTTCCTTCTCCCGTTTGTGTGACTGCGACTGCTAAAATCGACTTCCACGAAGACAGATACCTATCTCGTACTCGTCGCCGTCGTCGGACGCACTCACTCTCCCGCGCCGTGAGCGAGATTTTCCTTCGATTCGAGCAACACGACGAAATGCACCAACACACGCGCAGCGAGGTCAATAACAAAAATTTAATTTAATGTCAAACTTATTCACCACTCCAGGGAAGAAGCGGCAAAAGTGCAACTGGGGTGTCCCTCGGAGGGTGGTTTTGTGGGCCAGAGAGGTGGAGCAACTTGCGGCGGCAACGATCCGCGCGCAGCGGGAGTGTGGGTGGGTGGGCGGTTTCAAGCACAATCTCGGGGCCTCGCTCGACTCGCGCTCATTCGCTCGAGGTTGATTGAAGGCGAACCGCTCTCCTCGCTGCTGTTGTTTGTGGTAGTGGTGCTGGTGGCAGCCAAGGCAGCAGCAGTTGCAAAAAGAGAAGTGAATCAGCTGCACAATTTTAGTTGGTGTGATTAGTAGCAGTGAGTGCCGGTCGGAGCAATAATGACGAACATGATTGGGTGAGAGCGAGAAGCCGGATAGCCGTTTCCGTGCGTGCAAGCGAGATGGCTGTACGACGACGGCGCAGCAGTCATAATAGGAGGTCGTCGACCTTTCGTAGCGCGAGGTTTTGCTTTCTCTTCTGTGTATGTTTTGGATCTCAAATGCTCGCGGCGCGGGTTGCCGATAGGGAGTGTGTCTGGTGGTGCGAGTGGCACGCGGTAACTAACTGCTCGAGTGCAGTTCGGGTAGTTTGAAAGCGTAGATGACGTCATGGAAAGGATGCTGATTTTTTTTTTTGTGATGAGGAAGATCTACGATCATTGCGACGAGGTTGCAAGATTTAGGATCGCGTGTGGGTCGTGAATGGGTTTGCATTCTGTCGGCGTCGTCGTCCACGTATCCAACAACACACTACCCAACTTTGAGGAGGGTGGCCTTCTGGTTGTGAAGGCTATTCGCGAGCTGCTGGCGACGTGCGTTCGACTGAACGTCTGCTGCTGTGGCGGCGTCGAGCAAGAGATATGAATAGCAGCGCAGCGAAACGTTTTTCTTGCTGCTGCTGATGTTGTTGCATCAGTGGAGTGGCCCACCAGGCAAAACCGAACGTTAGTGCATGCTTGCATTCTGGTGTTGCTATATGGCACTGAGGACGGCCTTCAACTGCTGGCTGCCGGCCCCGTTCATAAGAGAATGCAAATCTGGTTAGGTGGCGTTGGATTGCCGAGGAAATTTTAACGATCCCCCGTCGTCCAGGGTCACCACGACGGTGCGTGACATGCTGCTGTAGATAGTTTAGGATTATGCGAACAACATATTGAAACTGACTATCTGCATGCTTGAACGAAGCATATTTGGGGCAATGAGTTAATTATGGATTTCTACCAGAATGATTGAATAGAGAACATGGAACAGTTATGCGTGTGAGGGCAGTTTAGTTAACCTCGAAAATTGTCTATTAGGGTGGGTCAAGTTTACACGGCGAATGAGAACGATACAAATTTGAGTTTAGTTCACTCATAATCGCCAAAAGTGCAGGAACTCAGCGATGAGTAAATTTTCCTCATGGTTTCATGTAGCAAACCTCTAAAATCTGCCAGAAAATGAGTAAAATTGACGAAAATTTTACTCTGTCTAGGAGTAGTACCATTAGACTGAGTGAATCCAATCGATACTCATATTCGGGAAGTTTTTCCTGGACAAACCTGGAAAAACACGAGGCAAATTTACTTATCGCTGAGTTCCTGCACTCTGTGAGTTGATCGGATTCAGTTGCGATTTGCATTTGTGGGATAATTTGAATGTTAATATGTATAGAAAACTGTATTGCAGGTTTCGCACTTGATTATACACTACTGCGCTAAAATTAAATGCCGTGGACATATGCTTGTCATGCACAGTTGTACACACCAGCTGCTCATTTGTTAATAACTTTTCACTCAGTTGTTGAAATTTAGTTATCTTTAAAGTAATTGATAGATTAGGATCATAGTTTACTGTAGACATACAAAGAGTAGGTAAATCTTATCATTTGAATCAACACCATGTGCAGCGAACATTTCTCACTTAATTTTTGCAACGCAAAATCAAATACAGTTTATTACTAGAGTTAAAATCTCCTTTTTAAACATTATTAAACATATCTATAACAAGCTTAAACTCTATTATATCGACTGCTCCAAACAGAACTTTGTTTCGTCAACTCTATGCAAAGTTATAAGCAAATGACTAGGCAAATGAGCAGTTCGCGAGCAAAACTGTGTATACCAAGCATGATTCTGAAACCTGAATTCTACTATTTACTTATCTTATTTTAAACTATTATGCTTTGAGAATCCTAGCTTATATACTTGGGGGACGTCTTCTGCGATTCTTGAGAAATTGTGATTGAGGTTGATGGATTCCAAACATGGATTCATGGAATTTCGACAAGAGTTGCTTGAAGAATCCTAGCTAAAAATTTTGACGAATATCAACAGCGATTAGAGCTCTTGGGAAATCTCAACTGAAAATCTTAAGTTTACCGAAACATAAATTATTGGTCGTATCCGATGGCTCGAGAACATTGAAGTAATTTCCAGAAGTCTCTGGTATTTTGCTTTGCTGGAATTCTTTTAACTTTGCTGTGTTTTGTGGACTTCTGGTGGTCAAAGAGAGAAACTGCTGAAGTTCTCGGATCATATATCATATATATGTTTCTCAGAAGTTCTCGAGAGATCTCTTCTGGACTTAAACAATTTGGCTGGAACTTTGGAAATTTCGTTGAAGTTTATAGAATATTTCTTAAAAATTTGATACAATGCTTGGAACTTTTCTGAATTTCTTGGAGCTTATTTCAGAGCTTGAACCTCTTCAAAGTTCTTAAATCTTTCAAAAGTATTTCTTTTTAATTGTCTAGAATGTTTGAAACTTTACTAAACTTTACGGAGCATAGCTGAAGTTTTAAGAGGTTATTTGAAGTTCTCCGCTAAATTTCTTGAAGCTGTTTCAAAGATATATTAGCTTTGCAAGATCGCCTGGGAAGTTTCAAGAAATAATGAAAAGATTCAACAACTTCTGAAAAGGTCGAACAACTTCAGAGTAGTTAAAGTACTGGAGATAAGCTTCGAGAACTTCTGAGAAATCAAGGTAAATTTGTATAACACTTGCTGGGAAACCGAGGGTGAAACCCACTGGGCAGACGATACGGCCATGCTTAACGGCCGACTGCTGAATAAGGCGTGCATGGCCGCGGCAAATTGGTGACACGGAGTCACGGGTGAGGTTCTGCGATCCATCGTTCACTTTAGCTCAGGCGGGCGTGTAGACCAGAAGCGTATGTGGAGTATATTTTAACAGAATACTAAGTGCGAGTAGTGAATCAAGGTGAAGTGTAAATCACCAATTCAGCTGATTCAGGACCTTTTTCAACCAATCATATCGCTTTCTGGTTGGCGAGTCAAGGACCACCATTGCACGCTACGGTCTAGGTGACATTTAGTTACCTTGACCTAAACGTAAAGGACATCGTTCTCGGGTTGAAGGCCCTAAACGCCAAGGAGAATTTACCTTCCCGGTTCGACAGAGGGCGGCCTTTCCGTCGTCGTTTGGCTTCGTCAGAAGGAAGTGCCTGTGCATCGGAACCATCTCCACAAACCGCTATACTAGCCCCGGTAAATTCAACCCGCCATCGCACTACAGCCTTGTGAGAAGTTTCAAGAACTTCTGATATGTTTCGAGAACATCTGACAAGTTTCGAGAACTTCTGACTATATCCGAGACCTTTTGACAAGTTCCGAAAACTTTACAGATGCTCCGAGAGCTTTTAAGAAATTCCGACAAGTTCTGAGAACATCTGACAAGTTTTGAAAACTTCTGAAAGGTTCCGAAAATATATGAGAAGTTCCGAGAACTTCTAAGAACTGTATCTTTCAGTAGTTTTTGACGTTGGATAACGTCTTTCGGCAACATACGGGGGTACAAAATTGAAAACAGTCATTTTGGATGCGTTACGAAAAATTAAAAGATTTTAAACGATAATAACTCAACCGTCTCTCGATAGATTTACGAGATAATGGCATCAATCGATTGGAAATATTTCTAGCAATTTGCTGAATGTTTCAAAACTATTGGTTTCATTCTGTAAACTATTGAAAAATGGTTAAAAGTAAACCATTGTCTAAAGATGGTGAAAATCGATTGATTTTTTTATATTCTTATACTTTCTCCAACCGAGACATCAGATGCGAGTATCTGACACCTCTGATATTTTCTGTTCTACTATATAAGCGTCCAACAGGGTCACCCGTTCCATCATTGTCTATCAGATCGTAGACCCAGTAGCAGAGCAGCAGAGCAGCAGTACCAGAGCAGCGGAAGCAGAGCAACGGCAGCAGAGCAACGGCAGCAGAGCAGCGACAGCAGAGCAGCGACAGCAGAGCAGCGACAGCAGAGCCTGGGGGCAAAAGGGCAACTACGCCGAGTGCGTTGGTGCCAGTGCTCCGGTATACTGGGCCGCCGTCATGGAATGCCCAGCTGCTGCAGTTCTCAGTCGGTCGTATTCACCGTCTGCTCCGCAAGGGCAACTACGCCGAGCGCGTTGGAAAAATGGCCCTTTTCAGGGCCACAACATTATCAAGAAAGAGTTTAACATACGTATGCGAGTATCTAACACCTCTGATATTTTCTGTTCTACTATATAAGCGTCCAACAAGGTCGCCCGTTCCATCATTGTCAACAACATCAGCCCAACAAAACGGCCCTTTTCAGGGCCACCAAACTTTCGCAAAAGAGTTATTAAGGAATATTCCTAAAATATAATATACACAATTAAGTACAACACATAACAAACGTTATCCAACGCCAACCCTGCGGTCGTATCTAGTATACAACCCTTCCAACTTTTATATTTGTCACCAAAGATGCTATTTACTGTCTGGCAGAATTCCCGAAGACATTTTCGTGCAGTTGACTCCCCCATCCGAACCTATTCGTCGGTAGCATTCGATGGAGATCTATACGCCAACTGTCGGATTTCTGCCGTACATTTTTATAAGTTTGTCAATCCACACTTTCCTGTTGCATCTGGCATCCGTCAAAGGATGGCAATCGATGTCCGTCGGTGATTGGCACGGAACAGAGATCAACGTTACATAAAGGGATGAAGATGAAGAAGAAGTCGTTTTCCAGGACGAGATCCACTAAGTTTTTCCTCTGATTCTGCTGTTGCTGTTGATAGTGCATGTGACATTACCTGCTGGGCGAATTCATCATCACTATAGTCCACAAACATTTTGGAATTTATTGTAATCAAATTTACTACACTTTTTTTTTAACGCAATTCCGACTGCAAATAATTGTTGTTATCGTTTATTTTGACCACAGCGCGTAACTAGAATGACAGCACAGAACAGAAGGGGAAGTGCAAACAAATCGGTGAATCAAAAAGTGGTTCGTTTTTCTGCTCAACAAGCGATGTGTTCCACACGGGCTTTCTATGTGCACTCACACTATCATAGCATGCTGTCTATCTTAACTGCAGGCAGAAGATGCCTTCTACCGCTAGGTGCGCTAGTGTTCGCAAATGACAAGTGGAGCCACTTTCTGATCCGAAGTTCCACTCCTGTGATGACAACCACCGGTGTGCAAACAGAGAGGTACTTTGGAAACCCATTTATCAACGACCTGCGTGAAAAAGGGTGACTAAATATAATAGCAACGCGTACTCATACTCAGTGTTCGAAAAATCATTATCAAATCTCATTAATTGAGTCTCCTTCCGTGAATTTGCGTGAATAAAATCGCGTACGAATCCATCAAACACAATTTACGCTTGAGATTCTCATGCATATTCACGCACTCACACTCATAACGCCAAAAAATAATTCCAGCTTTAAACTCATAAAAACCACTCGAACTTCAATCGAAAGCCCTAATAAACGGTTACCATACACAAACGTTATCACAGATGGTGCGAACTAGAGTCGGTGTATAATGAGTCACGCCAAGAGTGAAGCCAAGTCTACCTATTGAACTGTCAAATCGGCTACCTATCGTGCAAAGTAAATAAATATTACGATGCTATGAAAGGTCTACGAAAGGTATTGCAATGAAATATAAAATAAAATTGAAGAAATCATCATAAACACGCAGCGAGCATTAAATGGTCATGGGATACGTTTGGTTTTGATCAGTAATGAGAATTTCTACTATTTTTTAATATGATAATTTGACAAAATCACTGATATTATGATTCACTACAGCCGCTATTTTTGGTTCTCGCTAAAAGTCATTTAAAGTTGATGTAGAAGTCCTCTGTTGCCAAGTGAAAAGAAAGGGAATCCTTCGGAAACCGTGATGCGAGTTCAACTGTTTTTCTCTTGGCGTGACTCATTATATACACCGACTCTAGTGCGAACATACCGCATAGAGTTGGGATGATATCCCGAATAGGTGGTTAGGCACTTCTTATGGTTATTTGTTATGCACAACCCCTGATGCACAAACAATGTTAATAACAATAAATAGCTCCGACATATAAAGAATTTTTGAATCTGAAAACTCATCGGTGATTTTTGTGACGTTGAATTTTGGAAGCCAAAACTCTCATAGGCGCATAAACTCATGCATGAGATTTATGTTTTTGATTTTTTTTTTCAAACACTGCTCATAATTAATAGACACGCATTTACTTATGCACTGGTGGGCTTGCTCTAAGGTGATTCCTTGAAGAGTTCACAAATGGCCGTCATGATGGCTGATATGCCATATTACTTCACTCCTTCACTAATGAAGCTGAAACTCCCTCACGGATAGAAATCTCCTTATACCTTTTGGCAAATTTCTATTGCTGATTATTCATAAAATGTATAAGTCAACTAATAAACAGACGCCTTGCAAAAAGTTAATGAAGATCATGTGCCAAATGAAATGTATAAGCGGTCAAATATACCTTTTATGCATTCTTATAGGACCTATGTGGTTTGTCTTATGGATTGTATAAGGCTGATGTTTTGGATGTATAAGTGAAACACATGAATAAAATAATTGATTTTCGTTTCGTGCTGTTTGCAGCAAACGTGTAGTACCAGTTTCATTGTTGTATGTTTTGTGGGAGCTTATCATGGAGCTGATAATTGTGCTATTGAAATTTCGAGGTTATCCATCAGAAATAAAGTAACCTCTGTGATTCACTTTAACATCCCGCATAAACAATAACCATAAGAAGCGAGATAAGAAGCGCCTAGGCACCAATTCGGGATATCATCCCAATTTTATGTGGTATGGTCGTACCATCTATTATATCGTTAGTTTATTGTACCGTTTATTAGGGATTGCAGTTCTTTAGAAGATAAAATATAATGAACAATCCAACTGAAAAACTCGTAAGACTTATCTCACTCCTGGAGATGTGTCCATCGTTATATCCGAGGTTATATCATGAGCAGTCATTGACAGACAAATGCTTTTGAATAGTCCAACTCAAAATTAAGTTTTCACTCTTAAGTGAACTCCACACGGTTAGAAATATTGTCAATACTTACATGTATTAACAATAATATTGATAATGTGAATACATAAATATTGTCAATATAGATGTATTCACGTCAATATAGAATGTATTGACAATAAATACGATTATTGTCAATACAAATTGTCGTGTGGGGTGCACTTTAGAGTTGACTCCTTCTTTATGACATAAGCAATTCTATGACAGGCAATTGCGTTTGAAAAATATCAATCTGAAATGCTCCAATGAAATCGAAATGCATTTCTCTATCACCCTCAGAGTTGACTCCTGCTTTATAACATTAGCATTTCTTTGGCTGATAAAAACTATTAAACAATCTAACTTATTACTACTTATTATTACTTTCTTGAACAGTTTTTCTAGAAAAAAAAAACATCCATGAATTTAATAATTATTGTTTTATTTCCAGCAGTTTTTCAGTGACGCTGTACATCTTTCTTTTAACCATCAAAATTCTCGTACTGCTCATGAGTAACAAACAAATATGAAAAATATATTAGGTTTTATTAGTCACGCTACAAGTATTCGAATAAACATAAAATCACTTTATCATCTTCCCAAATCCCAATCCTTTTATTAATTAGTAAGTAGTAGTGAAGGAGCTTTTTCATCCAAAGACTTCCATCTCGATTTTTAAATCAAGATTTAAAGCAAAATAATAACTTTACTGTTTGACACTAAACTAACAAATTGACAACTCGCTCTCACAATGTCCCACCGAGGGGCGCTAATATGATTATTTTTGTAATGTAATGTAATCGCACTTATTTAAAATAGTTCCAGTGGTTCCGGTTTTATTTTAAATGCAGATTTCGAATTTGAGTCGAATCCAACTCAATTTTGAGTTGGTCTCATCGCCCGTGAAGCCCCTCGGACAAAAACGGCGTGTGCCTGTGGTGAATTTATCTAATTTTGACGTTTTTCATGTGCGTAAAAAAAAGGAAAACCATAACAAAATCCAAAACAACCCCAACCCAACGGGACACAGCCGACACAGCAAACTCGGGAGTAAAAGCAATAAAAATTAACTTCCATCGATTTACAATTACATTGTAATAAAACAGGGCTCAAACCGTGAAAAAATGGAGGATCCAGCAGATCTGAGGTAAGTTTCAGTCCCGCACGAATCAGACTGTCACGCAAGTTATAATTCCGTACCTCAATCGCAGCCACTGCCGATTATGCTTCTCGGCGGACAACCTCTCGGATGCCATCTTCCCGGTGGATGGCCCTCCGGACCAATCGCTGATCGCCATGATCCACGATTGCACTTCCATCCGGATCAGCTTCGAGCGGGACTATCCGTGTTCGGTGTGCGGCACCTGTTTGCGGGTGCTGCAGCAGTTCCACGGGTATCGGCAGCGGTGTTTGGCCAACGATCGGCAACTGAGGCGACAGCGTGGAGGAGACGACGGGGATGTCGATCCACTGGAGGAGTGTTTTGCGATGGTCAAGCAGGAGGCGGACGATGATCAGCAGTTTTACCGGCAAGTGAAACAGCAAATTCACGAGTTTTTGGAGACGAAGATGAAGGAGATTGAGCGGACGGCTTTGGCCAAGGTAAATGAAGTGCTTCGGAATCGGGACGGGGGAATCGGACTGCAGATGAACGTGGAGGATGATTTGAACAACACGATGGATTGGAAGAGCAAATATTTGACCCTGCAGAAGAACAACGAATTGCTGCAGAAGGCATTTCGGGATCAGAAGGCTAAACTGAAACAAACGGAACAGATGCTAAGGAGCTACCAGCAGCAGTCGAGCAACGTTGGCGTAGCGTGCGAAATGATGAACGGTCTCGTAGAGAGTCAGCCCGGCAGTGGGTTTACCACACATCCGGCCATTCCGGAAATTTCGTCAGAATACCTGCAAAGTTTGAACTTCAACTCCGGGGCGGGAGAGAAAGGAGATCGCCATTTCGTATCTCGGCTGGCCGTAGCTGTGTTTGGAGAGGACATTTTAGTCAATTCCAGCGTCACCGGTAGACCCTCGAATTCGCATCACAACATTCCGCCGAAGCCACCGCTCTGTTCGCTGAAAATGTCCGCCATTGGAGGTAAGATCCCTGACTCATCAACATCGGGCCCCATAGCTCAGTTGGTTAGAGCGTCGTGCTAATAACGCGAAGGTCGTGAGTTCGATCCTCTCTGGAGCCAGTGACTTTTTTTTCACCTTAAATGGACTGCTTTATCGATGTATGAATAAAAAAAAAAGTCACTTGACCCCGACGTGATTTGAACACGCAACCTTCTGATCTGGAGTCAGACGCGCTACCGTTGCGCCACGGAGTCTTATATGTATTTGTTGGAATTTCAGCAAAACTATACGAACGAGTCGAGCAGGAAGTGGGTCGGTCCAATCGGAAGGAACTGCTTCAAAGATCCAGCGAGAAGGTCGTCCGGTTGGTGGTCTGCCAGAAGTCGATGAATCTCCGGAAGCAGGTCATGAAGAGGAGTCAATCAATTAGTGGTGGCAGCGGGAGTTACTCACTCGGCGGTGGAAGTGCTGGTGAGGAAGAGTTCGAGGAACCGATCGGCAAGCGGATGACGCGTTGAGTGAGTATTTAAAAAAAAATCAGTAATGATGACCCCAAATCGAATATTTGTCGGAACAGTTCAAAAGAAAGCCATATTTTCGTCTGGGGTGCTTTAATAGGTACATGTAATATTAGTATTTGAGGGATAAAATGATTGTAGGAATTACTCCGTATCTCCTGTCCATGCTGGTTCGCCTTCCACACGGAACCGCTTGGCAATGTCCGCTTTCTTCAGGTTGGAAATCTTCTGCGCTATGAATCGTTTGATGATCCTCTCGTCCGAGTTCTTCCGGATGGTGTGGATGTCGTCCGGTCCGATTCTCATTGCTGTCCGTTCAGCCACCTTGTCTGTGTGGATGAATTCATTTTCGTTTATTTTGAACGGTTGATCAGCATTATACTAGAGATACTCACTGCAAATAAAATCGAAAATTCGCGGATCGATCTTCTCCGTGGGCGGATAGAGCGGTGAACCGTCCGGTTTCTTCAGCTTGGCAAACCGAGGCGACGCATGACCGGTGACGCTCATATTTTTCAGGTTCTCCGGATCGACCAACCGGGTTATGAGAATCCCGACGAAGACGCTGTCCGACGATGATCGTTCGTTAATTTCCTCCAACTCGCGCACGCTTATCATTATGTCCTCCTCGGCGGTGAAGCGGGTCTAGGGGATTGAAATAGAAGAAAGATTCGGTTAGAAAGCGACTTCTGATCAATCAAGAAACATCGAAGGGCCTACCGAAACGACTCCTGCAGCGCCAGCATTCTCCAGTCTCAATCGTTTGAGTTCCAGATCGAAGTTGAGCTGCATCAGTGTGTCAATTTTCTTCTGAGCCTCTGTTAGCTGCTTTTCCAGCGTCTTTGATTGGTTCGATACATCTGCAATTCGAGAACAAATGCTATTAATCAAAGTTCAGCACCATTATCCAACTTTCCTTACCAGCAGCTGTGGCATCGCAGGACAGTTTCCTCTTCTTTCTGCTAGCACCTCTACTAACCGCCGTTGCCCCCGCTGGAGAACGCTGCGATCCATTCAATTCCGTCTGTTCGTCGAAACCCGCAAAACTACTATCTGCCAAATCTTCTTGATCCGACGATTCGAAGTAAACGCTTTCCAGTTCCAGCTTGTAATTCATTCCGTTCTCATCCTGCTTATCCTCTTGCTGGGAGAATTCATCCGACTCGTCTTCATTCAAAACTTCATACTCAAGTGCCTCGGCGATCTCGTCTGTCGGTTCCACCGTCATCTGCAGCAGGACGTCTTCGGGAGCACCTTTACCCTTGCGTTTCTTCAGTGCTTCATCGACCTTCTCCAGTGCCTTTCGCTCGACTTCCTTGACTTGCGTTTTCAGGAAGCTCTGGATGTGCTTCCGGACCTCTGTGTAAAACTGCCGATCACGAGCTTTCCTGAGCATCTTTCGTTTACTGGAATTCGTCTTCAACGGGTCGTCCATCAGCTCATCGCCGCCGTCATCCTCATCATCGTCCGTTTCGCCTCGAATCCGTTTTAGCTGCCGATCGTGATCCAAACACTTCTTCCGGTAGGCGTAGAATTGATTCACGATCCGGATACAGCTGCTGCACACCGCACAGGGGAAATCCTTCTCGTAGGTGATCCGAATCGAGGTGCACGCATAAATCATCCGGAACAGTTCGTCGTTGGGCGCCGTACCGAACACGTCGGTCAGGTTGTTTTGCGATGAGCACAACCGACAGCGGCTGTTAATAAACGGCTCATGGGTTATGTGGTTTGAGAAGTTTTCAATAGCATTGATAAGAAAACTTACTTGAGTTCCTCCAGGTCGGCCATTTTCCAAGGAAGTTTATTGTTATTAATAGCAGTAAACTGCAGATATAAATTGATGCAATTTTGCGGAGCTCACACGGTTTGTTGAGGCATTTGCGCTTGGCACGGACACAGCAGAATACATTAAAAAAAGCATTAAAAACACGAAAACGAAGTAGAATGGAGAAATGTCAAAATTTTAAAAGAAACTCACCACTGCAAACAGTGGGAGTGATTAGGAATAAAATTGGACAATATTTAGTTAGGTGTTGAACCACCACTTCGTTTGTGGTTTATGTGCCCAAATTGAACGTTTTAAAATTATTGTATTCCCTTTTCCTGATCATGGTCACATACAGCAATAACTGGAAAACCACTTTCGATCTGATTTTTGGCTCAAGATCGAAAAAACTGCAAGAAAATTAAACAAGAAGCTATTGGGGGAAGTTTGAAGAAAGGGCTATGAAAAATCGGAAATGTCGAGAAACTTTTGGAAAAATCGGATGACACATCCAAAGGAAGCTAGACAAGTTTCGGAAATCTGAAGAAAATTCCAGGAGAAGGCATTTCCAGGGGAAGCTAGAAGAAGCTCGCAAAAACATTTCAATAGAATTCGGTTAAAACCTCCGGAAGAAGCCTGGGGAAACTTCGAGAGGAAAACGAAAGCAACTACTGGGAGAATTTGATAGATACTTTCGGTAGAAGTTTAAAGGAACTTCCTGGAGAAGACGAATGAAAATTTCTGGAGGCGCTTGAAGAAACTTCCTGAGGTAGTTTGGATGAAACTTCTGGAGAAACCCGAAAGCTTCTTCCGGTGGAAGCCTGATGGTTTTCGGGTCAGAAGTTGGGATGAAAATCCCGGAAGAAAGAGATTTCTGGGGGATGTCGAAAGAACCTTTTGAGCGAAGCCAGAAAAAACTTCCTAGGAACGTCGAAATAACTATCCGAGACGAATTGGTAGTTGGTAAATTTACGGGGTAAGGTGGAAGAAAATTTCAAGGGAAATTAGGAAGAAACTTCTAAAAGAAGGTTAAATAAACATCAAAATGTTAAAAAAAATAGCATTCTGATGAACCTTTATGGTTACATAAAAGATAGTAAAAGTATTTCTCGATTCCTAGGAATTACCGGATTAGCTGTTTCTCGATTCTTGGGTAGCCAAAAACGGCGAGGAAATGGATACACTAGCGAAAGAGTATCAAGCATAAGACATTTTAAAAGATGAATAAATTGACATATTCAAAAAGATAAAAGTCGCTCACAATTCTGACATTTTAGCGCGGGCAGGCAATAATCATTTTGATTATTTAAAAATCGGTATAAATCCGTATAAAATGTCAAAAATTGGTATTCTGCGGAGCCTCATCTGTATATCGGTACAAATACTGAAAACCAAGTAACCCGCGATTGTGTTACGTTAGCAAGTATTTAAAGAATAAACGTTCATTCCACTTTGTTCCTTTAAACCTGAAGCACCGTTTTTCCTTTTAACTCTGCAAGAGGTTATGGGTCCAGAACCTAACCGGAAGAAAAGAATAAATTAAGTTTTCAAGATGTCAACTGGAGGTAGCAGCGATAGCAGCAGAATCGGAAATCGAACTGAAGCAGGAAGCGTTCGAGTTACGACGGGTTCCGTAGCTATGCCGGCTATAGAGAAGTTGAAGGGCCGTGAAAATTATTCAACTTGGGCATTTGCGATGCGGATGATCCTGATCCGCGAAGGAAGTTGGAGTGCTGTTCAGCCTGCTGAAGGAGAAGTTGTTGCAGCGGACGTCAAGCTAAGAGCGTTGGCAACAAGCTTTCGACAATTGGTTTCAAGGTGGATGATTCGTGGTTAATCGCGTTGCTCCTGGTGGGACTGCCAGAATATTACGAGCCGATGATCATGGGATTGGAGGCGTCTGGAGCAAAATTGTCATCGGATTCGGTCAAAGCCAAGATTTTGCAAGACGTCAAGCTCGAAAAGGGTCCCATTCATTACATGCAGCGACAATGGAGCACTGTACTCGCGTGGGACGAACCCAGGCAAAGCTAAGAACCAATATAAGAAGACGAAGGCAGATAAAGCTGAGAAGACGTGCTTCAATTGTGGTAAGCTTGGTCATTTTGCTGCCAGATGTCTCGAAAAAATGAATCAAAACCCGAAAGGGCTCTGCAGCATTTTTGCGATGGGTAATGTCAAGAGCAAGGCGTGGTATATTGATTCGGGAGCGACGTGCCACATGGCTGAACCAAGCCAGAAATTTATTGAAGAGATGACAATTGAACACGACGTTGGAACAGCAAACAATGGTTCTATGAAGGCCGTGGCAAGAGGTACCGTGGTTCTTCAGAAGCGAGACGACTCCATTGATGTTCTGAAGATCCCGGACTTAGCAACAAACCTGCTGTCAGTAAGTACGATGTGCAAACGAGGTCATAAAGTTATTTTCTCGGCAGACAAGTGCGAGGTGCTAGATGATGATGGTGAATTGATAATCCATGGAGTCGAAGAAGGCGGATTGTACCGAGTGGTAGAATCGGAACGGTCATTTCTTACCAACGACATTGAGTTGTGGCATCGACGATTGGGTCACTTGAACGAGGCTAGTTTGAAGCAGCTCAAGCAATCGAACGAGGATGTTAATTTTTCAAACAACCAGCTGGCAGACTGCACTACGTGTTCAGAAGGCAAACAAGCTCGACTACCGTTCCAGAGAAGTAAAACAAAAACATCAAAGGTTCTGCAGCTTGTACATTCCGACCTGTGTGGGCCGGTAGAGGTTCCGTCATTGGGTGGCAATCGTTATTTCATTACGTTTGTGGACGAAGCAAGCAAGCGAGTTGTTGTCTATTTCCTGCAAACAAAGAATCAAGCGTTTAAGGCGTCCAAATTGTTTCAAGCAAAGGTTGAGCGACAGACGGGTAAGAAAATCAAGATTCTTCGAACCGACAATGGACGGGAATGAAGAAATCGTATCGTTGGACCAGAATCAGACGTGGATGTTAACCGATCTACCTGAAGGACGTAAGGCAATCCGTAACAAGTGGGTTTTTAAGACTAAGCGTGGACCCGACGACAACATACAGCGATACAAAGCGAGACTCGTGGTGAAGGGTTGCTCGCAGAAACCAGGAATCGACTATGAAGATGTATATTCTCCGGTAGTACGTTATTCAACAATTCGCTACCTCATGGCACTGGCAGTGAAGTTTGATTTTGATGTGGACCAGATGGATGTGGTCACTGCGTTCCTGCAGGGTGAGCTAGGCGATGAAGAATTGTACATGATGCAGACGGAAGGATTCGATAAGGTCAACGGCAAGGTGTGCAGACTCAAGAAAGCGCTGTACGGCCTCAAGCAGTCGAGCCGTGTATGGAACGGAAAACTGGATGCCTTATTGCGAAAATTCGGACTGCAACGATCACAAGTAGATACGTGCGTGTACTGGATCCTGGATGGTGACATTATGCTATTTGTGACGATATACGTAGATGACCTGCTGATTTTTACAAACAACCTGGCGTTGAAGAAGAAACTGAAGAAATTTTTGATGAAGAAGTTCCAAATGAAAGACTTGGGTGAAGTTTTACACTGCCTGTGAATTCGAATTGTCAGAGATCGAGTGCAAGGACATCTTTCGTTGGACCAACAATCTTATATTCAAGAGATAATCCAGCGCTTTGGGATGACGGACGCTACTCCTGTAGCAACACCAGCAGATCCAAGTCTGAGACTAGATAAATCGATGTCTCCCAAAACGGCTGAGGAGGCAGCATAGATGTCAAGAGTACCCTTCAAGGAAGCAGTTGGCTGTTTATCATATGTAGCGCAAACTAGTCGACCAGATATTGCGTACGCTGTGAATGCTGTGAGTCAATTATCTGCCAACTCTGGTAGACAACATTGGGAAGCAACCACGCGTATAATACGATACCTGAAGGGAACAGCGCAGAAAAGGTTGCTGTACACTAAGGACGATACTGGAGGCCTTCAAGGGTATAGCGATGCCGATTGGAGAGGAGGTCCTGATGACAGAAGATCGACAACAGGTTACTTGTTCACCATGCAAGGGGCTGCCATATCCTGGAATGTGAAAAAGCAACCAACCGTAGCCCTTTCGTCATGTGAGGCGGAATTCATGGCACTTTCGCGGGCCATTCAAGAGGCGATGTGGTGAAAGAATCTGCGTTCGGAGCTAACAGAAGTTGAAGCAATGCCAATCTACTGCGATAATCAGTCGGCAATCAGCAGCGCGAACAATGGTTCGTATAATCCAAGAACAAAGCATGTTAGTATTCGCTACCATTTTGTACACGAAGCATTGGAGCAGCAAACAGTGAAGCTCGAATACATCTCGACAGCAAACCAACCTGCGGATGGATTCACGAAACCGATGACCCTTTTTAAGCAAGCTAAGTTACGCCAATTCTTAGGCATCACGGATTAGGGAGGAGTGAAAACCAAGTAACCCGCGATTGTGTTACGTTAGCAAGTATTTAGAGAATAAACGTTCATTCCACTTTGTTCCTTCAAACCTGAAGCACCGTTTTTCCTTTTAACTCTGCAAGAAATACCGATAAATCGGTATATCTTTTATTTTCGACTAGAATGGGGTACGTTAATCGTTTGCTTGGGACCAATAGCCTAGTCAAGTAGTGAGCCAATTAAAAATCGTTAGTTTCGTATTGATTGTTGGACTTACCCCCTGGTTTGTTTACAAAAAGCTTGCATGCCCTTTTAACCTGTTGTTCTTGATTTGATATTTTAATTATTTCCAATACATTAAAATTATGTTTCATTACATTGGTGACTAGTGAAGTGAGAAAAGCCACGTCGTGGTCAAATGGAGAGTCACGTCACCACGACATGACTTTTCTTACTTCACTAGTGACAAAAGTATTTAAATTCAATTATTACTGTCTTCAAAGTATTTAAATTACTACGATGTTTTTACCCTTCTTACAAAGAAGGGTATAGATATCACTTGAAAAACCAACTATCGATCCGAGGCCCGGAGGGCCGAGTGTCATATACCATTCGACTCAGCTCGACGAGATCGGAACATGTCTGTGTGTGTGTGTGTGTACGTGTGTACACACTTAATCTAGCTCGGTAAAATCCCCAACAGCCGATTACCTCGGCAT